TTCAAGGCAGTAGAATAGTTTATGCAATACAATGTATTATACATTATTTGTTTTCTGAAAAGATTTAATAAACAATACGCGCTTGTTTGACTACAGAAAAAAAAAAAAAAAAACAAGTTATTTTATAATATATAACTATTTTTGGATTTTTATTTATTATTATTTTTGGATTTTTGTTTATTATTATTTTTAAATTTTTTTGTTTATTAATATATTTTATAATATAGTATTAAACATATATTTAAATAATTTATTAAATATATATTTTTTAATTTTTTTTTTAATTAATTAATATAAGTTATAATATAATATATAAAATAAAATTTATATTAAGAACTTATTATTATTTATTTTTGTATGGTTGATTTATTACATACAGTATATAATATAAAAAAATATATATATTAAAAGCAAATAGATATTAATTATTATAAAAAATTTATTATTATTATATAATCTATTTATATATTTGTATAGCTTGTATTTTAAATAAAATAAAATAATTTTAATTTTTTGTTAAATATATATTATATATGTTTAAAAATATTTAAATTTATTTAATAATAAAAAGTTTTTAAAATTTTTTTAAGATTTAAAATAATAATAAATTGTTTAATTTATTAAATAAAAATTGACTTTCTTAAGGTTTTTATAATATTAATAATAAGTTTTTATTTTTTGAAATCTAATTATAAAATAGTTAATATGGTTTATATTTTTTTAAATACAAAAAATTCTTTGTTTTTTATTATATATAATAAAATAATAAATAATAAATTTTTTAAATTTATATACTTTTTGTTTTAATATATTGTAATATTTTTTAAATATAATTTTGTTAAAATATAAAGAATTTTGATTTTTTGCAAGAATTTTTTCTAAAAAAAAAATTTTATATGAACAAAAGAGAGTTTTATAATAATTAAAAATAGTTGTTATATAAAAATCTTTTATTTTATCAATGATATTAACTTTTATATATTAGGTAAACTTGTTTCTTATAATAACCTTTACCCATAATAAATTTTAATTAAATTTTTAAACTTATTTGATTTTTATAACTTTAATAAATTTTTGTTTAATATACAGTATATTAACTTTTATGTTAATAAAATAGTATATATCCCGTGTCTATTTACAATTCAACTAATTTTTTTTTTTTAAATTGATATAGAAAATTTTTTAAAAAAAAGTAAATTTATAATATTAACCATCCTTTTTTCTTTTTATTTTATTTTTTCATATATTCATATACAGTATATCACCTTCTTAAAAGAAACATGGATTTTATTATTTTAAAAAAAAAGTTCTCGCACAGCGTACATTATATTCTTAAACGTTATGGGGAGGGGAGGGGATGCGCATGTTTTCATAATCGATTTAAAAGCTGAGTAATTAATTTCATCAACGAATGCGGGCTGCCCATGAAATCCATTTTCAAGGATTCGACATGAGCGTCGGGGATATCATACAAATAAAAATATAAAAAGGTTACAAAAAAAAAAAGAAAAAAAAAAAAAGAAAAACCAGGTTGGCCTTATATGACAATTTTTGCGCAATATTTAATGCGTCAATCAATCCGAATAACCAATAATAGAAAAATATTAACGGTTCTTTTTTAAGAGTCGTTAAATCAAAAAAGCCATTGTATCAATATATTTAAGTATTTTAAATAAAATATTTAAAATTGAGCATATATACTACTGTAGCATGATAATCGATTTTTAGACTACTGGGTGGTGAGTAACGCACGAACCGCAATAAACACATATCTACTGCGGCAATATATATAATATATATACAGTAGATTATACAGTAAATGGTAAGCAACGAGTGAGAGAATATCCTGAGCGTTACATTATTCTCTTGCGGCGGCGGGATGCATGCGGGAAAACAAAACCGCTAATAGTACAAAAATGGGATTGGCCATTTATTTTTTTTTTTATTACACGTTGCTCCTATCTTTTTATTACGTACGTTCGCAATTTCACCACTTTGCGCACAAAAAAGGAGCGATTTTCTGATATCTCAAGACTTACACTACATCACCAACGTGAATATGTTTAAAAAATATCGTGAAAAGCATTGAATGATAAGTAAACTTTAAACGTGAAATAGCGTCATGGGGAGGGGTGCGATGCGATGCAACATAAATCATGTTATTATCATGATCCTATCCCTTCCTTCCTTCGCTCAATGCTGGAAATGCTAATGATCTTGAACTCCGTGATTCTTGCGAAAGTTTAATTCTTGTGATCGCGCGGCTACGTACAGTACATACGACAATAATCCTCGTCTGACCGGGAGTTTGAATGTTTGAATTCTTATGGTTTTTGTCATTTGTCAATTGTCAATTGAACGATTCGCACTTTCCTTAATAGTCAATGTATTGCAATTGATACTGCACTATATATATATATTATCATGACCATTTTCATATGGTTATAAAACAATTGGGACCCGATATGCATTACGAAAATAGCATCCGTCATGAACTTCTCATGATTTCCTTGACCTCACCCTGGTTCTTATCGGGTGAACAATCTCGTTGATTCATTGTCGCGCGGTAAAAGTACGCTCGCATCGGATTGAATAAAAGCGTAACGAGCGCTACTACCCTTCCAGCATAATTTTATTTGGCATTTTTCGTATCACGCTTTCTCTATCGTTCCATAAACCCTGAGTTTCCCTATATCCACCTGTATTCGCATTGTACCGTACGCTCTATTACCCCTGCTCACATTCCATTCACATAACATTGCAGAATATTGTAGATGCGACTCACAAATTAGATGTTTATTTGATTGATTTTCATACTGTAAATTACTTATTGTAGGCTCATCACAACACCTTTGAAATTCATACAAATACCCATCCAGTTTTTTTTCAAACCTTTCACAATCAAAAAATTTTTTTTTTTAAAAAAATCAAAAAAAAAAAAAACCTCGAAGTGTCACCACACCACCACCACCTAACAACTTCCACGATACATTAGTGAACTGATTGTTTCTCTTTTCTTTCTTTTTTCTTTTTCCTTTGATTAAAAAAAAAAATAAAAAAATAAACAAATTCATATCTTTATTTGAAACGATCTTGTGTTGCTTTCTTCCTTGCATTAAGGACCGAAAGGACAGAAGAAGGAAATATTTTCCAGTGATTAATCCACATTGATATCCATTTTATAATCAATAATAATCAAATACCTACATTATCAATAATCATATCGACAGTTAACAATGTCAATGCTCGATACGGCAACCGCTTTCTCCTATCATAATTCTCAATCCGACTCCAAAAATTCCGGAGGTCTATTTAGTAATCTTGCGCTCCCATCCACCCAACTTTTATCCTCCTCTCTGGTTATGCTTCCATTGGGTGGATATTTTTCGCAGCGATCATCGTCTCCGGAGCAAGAGAAAGTTTCACAGCAACAAAATATTTCCTCAGCCAGTATTCCTTCACACTCTACGCCACAACAACCAACCCATAATAACAAACGCTCCTCACGGAAAGTTAATCAGCAACAACAAAGGCAATCATTTTCTTCAGCTATCGCTTCCACCTTGACTGTTGGTAATATGGGCAGCATCTTATCTTCTTCGAACAACGGCAGTAGTAATGACAACGCAAGTAGTAATAACGACACCACTAATAATAACGACACCGCCCCCAAGAAAAATTCACCGGCGATCATCAATAACGCACATCATCATCGTAGAAAGAGGCCATCCAACAAAATCATCCGCAAGAAAATCGATCAGGCGATCGCGTTCTCCGCTTACGCCGTGGAAGAAGATCACCAAGAAAATTCCGACTGCGCGCTTGACCTCTATTTGACGGCCCTTGAAAACATGTTGGAAGCCTTGCCAAGTATGTCTCATTTTAAATTATTGTTTCACGCACTCTCATCATTACACATCATATGATTCACACATTCCTTCTAAAATAGTTCAAGCCGATCAATCAAGGAGAGACGCATTAAAAAACAAATTAAGGGAATTCATGGACCGCACAGGATTGACCGAAGAATTCATGGAATTCAAGAATCCACCATCGTCGTCACCGGCTTCTGGTCAAGAGGACAAGAAATGCGAATGCACCTCATCAACATGGCCACAGACATCACAAAGCATAAAGAATTCTGGCATATCTAAACACATAATCAACGCAGCCATAACAAGCGCTGTGGCATTGAAACAATCTCCAATTCCTGACGCCGTGTCGGCAACCGTAAATTACACCATGAGGAAAATCAAGAACATCGATGAGGCCTACGGGTTACAGGATAAGGCATGGGAGATATCGAGGACCGGAATCAACTTGGCATTAGAAATTGATTCACAATACAACGTGCACGAGAAAGTCGGTAATGCACTGTTTACAGGCTTAGCCGCAGCCATGAAAGCAGGCATCGCGTACAAGGATTCACCCTCGTACCGCGAATTGAAAAAGATGAAGGATCAGTATAGTGCGGCCGGTAGTGAGAAAAAAAATGACACCTGTGGTAGTAGCACCCAAGAATACGAAGGTTGTTAATAGATAGGATGTATTAAAATCACTCATTCTTTTTTTTTTAAAGAAAAAGCAGTTGAAAACACGTAATCTATAATCTTTTAATCTTCAATAGTTGTTACAACAACAAACATTTCTCGCTTGCATAATAAGATGGAAAGCGAATGACAGAGCGTAACTTGTTTATGTATAGAAACATTAAATATGCAATCTAATGTAATTCTACTGCCATACCATATTTCGCGTGTATCGTCTATTTGAATTGATGAAATGAAGACATAAAGCACGGATTTTCCACCGGGAAATAGTGGTCGACAGCGTGCGTACGCGTTACTTTTTGTCAGGTGACGTTCGTCATTATTCAACTACGTGCAGAAACCTCACTGGTTTTCCTGCGGTCATAAAACTACCAAATTTCGTAAAAACCATTCCCAATCTTAAGTCAAAAAGCCACCAACAGAATGCTATCGTAAGCCGAATGAATAAATCAGGTTTACAAAATTTCTCCAATCACTCTTTTAGTCTTGACACTTGTGATCCAAATAAAACGATCTCGGTGGCATTATTGCTACGCACATACAGTAAATCGAATCATTGCCAATGTAGTACAATTTATCGCCTAAATCAGGTATTGTCGTTCAAGTTGTATGGAAAAAATTTCCGAGTTAGATTCGCTCAGAATAGACCAGGAATGAGAATCAAAAAGAAATTTCATGTTGCGGACCTGCAGGCTTCACGTATTACGATGCATACGTGTGGTTTTTTTAGCTTAGCCAAATGAGGGATGTAAAGAAAATAGCTTTTTAGAGGAAAGAAAATAAATGCTCACCGTGGAATTGCAGGGGCTACATTAGAAAAGGTGAAGGCAAAAAATTCCAACATTCGGTGTTGCGTTCCCTAGTAGTCTCTCAAAGACGCAGGTCACAATGAGAACACGGACATTGTTATTCCTCGCATGACAATATCGAATTGGAAAGACAATTGCATAAAAATTGACGCACGAGAGTCCGCTCGTTCACAAATGCAAGTATTGTACTTTTACTTTTTTTATACCTTGGTGTGCAAACATTCTTTCTCGTGTGCATACAGCTTCGCGCGCTAAAACCCTTATGGGGATGTGGGACACTCGAACAATTTTCTCGAAGCATTCTTGCGTCTCGGTCACAACATTGTATGCATATGAAAGTTGAATACAACTAGTTTTGATCATTAAGTGGACATTGATCATGTATCGCGACTTCCCAAAAAAAAACCAGCCATGATTAAGGTATATAGTAGGTAGGAAAAATAATATATTGTACAACAATAACACAATTTTGGTTCTCGTCCATCTTCACATGTCATTTATCATGAGATATATACGTACGTACTGTTAATTGGTACCGAGTTGCTCCTATGAGAGAAGGAATTCTATGTGCATGAATGAACCTATCCCGCGGACACGATAATAACTGAAATGATGGCGGCTGTAAGGGGGATCAGGACAATGGTGACATCAATGTAATTATCGTGGATTTTAATGCTATGCTAGGGCCGATTGTACTTTTTTCTGGTGACTCCCGTCTGCTTAAGGGTCTCGAAGATCCTACCGGATTTGCACAACCAGGATCAACCCTCGTGACGTACGCAGTAGACCTTTCATTTATGCACACTGCCACCTTTTCGTAATCCAGTTGATACGAGAAACCTATGCACGCTGTTCTGATCTATCCAGTAAAATAGACACATGGGAACTTATAATTACATTATTGAGAACTTGAGAAAGCGTAAAATGTGATCCGTGGTTGATAACTTTCATTGTTAATATCAAGGATCAGACGTATAGTATAGTGTATGCCTGCCTAATCTTTGCCTCAAATTATTTTTGACTTGGCACAATCATAAAACGACAATATTATTTTCAAAACAGTATTAAAACGGTTGAAGATAACAAAAGTAAAAAACAAAAGAATATGTGTTTTACTTTATTGAGTTAGGTTTGAAAGATAAGGAAAAGAAGAAGAAAAAAAAACCTGCTGTTCTCATAATGTTCATTT